CTGAGCAGCCTGGCTGATGGCCCGCCCTCTGCCTGGCAGTGCTTAGAAAAGGTGCAGTTTTCAGGGACTCCAGGACCCACTCCCACTCCCAGGGAACTGAGACACACGGCTCCTGGGAGACTTAACTGGTTTAATTGTTTCGCCCTGGTGCCTGGGCCACCTCTTATCTCTTGGGTGAGACTCAAGTCCGGGCACCAAGACACAACAGCACCCCCAACACCACGCGGAGATCATTGGCCTGAAACCTGGCCAGAGAAAGTTCCACTCCTGGGCCTGTGAGGGTGGGCGCTGGGGGTGTCTGAAGCCTGCATGGTGTCCCCTGCATCCTCGGCCCTTGCAGGTGAAGCGTGTGTCATTCCCCCACTTCCCCCCAATGACAGCCACTGCCTCCTGCTGGAGCCCCTCCCAGGCCCCCCTCAGGGAGCAGAACCCTGCGTGTGTGCGGGGCTCAGCCCAGCCAGCCTGGAGCTCCAGCCCACCCTGGGGTGTGGATGGATGTAGAAGTGGGTGGGCATGGGGGAGCATCACGGGGGCCAGGACCCCCCAGGTGCACAGGGGAGGCCAGAGAAAGAGGCCCCAGCCCCAGGGAGTTCTGTGGCCTCAGGGGAAGGTGGACAAGGGGCTGGCACCACCAGGGGGCAGGTTTGGCTTAGACTGGTCTTGGTATGGGCTGGGGCCTTGGGTACTGCTGGTCCTAAGGATGGGCCTTGTGCCTCCAGACAGAGGCAGGGACCCCTAGCCAGCACCGCGCCCCCTCCGCGTCCTTGGTACAAAATACATACACATATAAAAATAATACTCCATGCATTGGGCGTGGGCTTCCCCTCCGCAGGCGCCCGCCCGCGGCAGCCAGGCCTAGCTGTCCTCCCCCCTTCTCTGATTCATGGAATGAAACTTGTTCATGAGTTCTTCCAGCTCCGACCCACTTTGCTGCTTCTAGGGAGAAATGGGGGCAGCCTCAGCCGGGGGTCCCACAGGTCCGGGTGCCGGCCTCCCCCTTGCTCTGCGACCCCAGGAACCGGCGGGGGCGGGAAGGGCGCAGGGGCAGGAGGGGCGGGGCGCAGGAGCGCAGGCGGGCTCACCTCCAGGAAGGCCTTCTGCACGGTGAGCTGGCTGTACACGCGGACGCCCTCCTCCCCGCACACCTTCTTCAGCTCCTCCTTGTTGAGGGAGAAGAGCTGCGGCCCAGTCAGGATTCCCAGGTTCTCCACGATCCTGGGGACGGGCGGGTGGGCGTCAGGGCCGCACCGTGGGCGAGGCTGCCTGGGCCCCGCCCCGACCGCTGCGCACCTTGGGCCGCGCCTCCCACCCCCCACCCGGATCCCTCGCTCATCCCCCGCTCACCGCGCGCTGAAGGCTTTGGCTTCCAGCCAGGCGCGGACCTCGTCGGGACCCGACTCGTAGGTGAGCGGCTGGCTCACCGGCTGGCTGCGCTCCACGCGGAAGTGCCGCTGTGGCTGCGCCCTGATGTTGCTGATTTTCCGGATGAGCTCGTCGTTGACCTCGTCCATGTGCTGCATGAGCTCTGAGGGGCGGCGCGACTCAGGCCCACCGCTGCCTTGCCCCTGCTCCCGCCCCCGGCCCAGGGACCTCCCCACCCTTCCTCCCCCAGGTGGCCCTGGACCCGGGACCTCCGCCTGGAAGCAGCAGCTCTCACCGTCTTTGTTCCCCGGGAAGCTTGGGGGCAACTTGTGGGTCGGGCTGGCGGGGCCCCAGTACTTCTGACCGACCTGCGGGGGCGGGAGGCGATCAGGCTCCCCACGCCCCGCCCCCGCCTCCCAGC